AAATATAAAAATTACACCATAACAAGAAACGATTTACGTGGTTTACCCTTGGGCTACATCTATGGCTTCGATAAATAAAAATCTATTATCTCAACAAAGATTACAGTTTTTTATTACAAGAGATAATATCTATCTCTAAATACCACTGCAAAAAAGATAACCTCGAGAACAACTAAGAGATTTTCTCTCTCTAGAGTGGAAGCCTTACCAACTCAAAACTCATGGGAATACCACCTGACCAATCTCCATCTTGGAGATCGATTCCCATAACTTCTAAAGGGGTGACCATCTAAAAGGTAGGATATTATGTCTTCATTTGGTCTTTTTATATATATATATATATATCACTTTCTCGCTTCCCAGAAAAGTTCATTTTCATTTTATCATAATACTCTTAATCTTTATAAGAAAATATGAGTATGGTGATTTGGCTATCACTAAACCCAACATTCTCTACCTAGATAGCAAAATTACAATAAGTACATTGGCGATCTTCAGTAGATAGATTTCTTGATTTCTTCACACTTGCTTCCATTATGGAATTTTCCCAAACACTTTGCCTAATGGAATTTTCTCAAACACTTTGCCTTTATATTTTTCCACCTCAAACCATGTATCCATCAAACTTCACGATTCTTCTTTTTTCCAATACGAGCCTTAGCCCGTACACACATTGTGCTCCGATACCAATTGAAGGGTTCTTAGGAACTGCTAGCTTGCATAGCCGGGAATCCTAAATATCAGGATCACATCCAAGATCGTGTACATAATTAGCTAAATGCGAAGTAAATGGATACAACTATAAATCGAGTGTAAGAAATAAAGCAAACATAAAATACATACTACAACAACACACAATTTACATGGTTCAAATCATAAGGCTACATCCATGGCTTCAGCAAGTAGAAATTTATTATCTCAATGACGATTACAGTTTTGGTTTACAAGAGATAATACATGTCTCTAACCATCAGTAAAAGACCATCACCGATCTTTCTTTCTAAACTCGTTCTCCCGACCGAAAAACACTATCGATCAATACTTTTTTTCCCACCGCAATATTACTACCGAAAAGATAACTTCGAGAGCAACCGATATATTTTCTCTCTCTAGAAGTGGAAGCTTTACCAACCAAAAACTGATGAGAATACCACCTGACCAATCTCTATCTTAAAGATCCATTCCTATAACCGCCAAAGGGGTGACCTTCAAAAGAATATAATATTATGTCTTCATTGAGTATCTTATATAGATATCACTTTCTTGCTTCTCAAGAAAGTCCATTTTTATTTATCATAATACCCTTAATCTTTAGAAGAAAAATATGGGTATGGTAATTTAGAATATTGTAATGCATTTTAGAAATCTACTATCTCAATGAATATTATAGTTTTTTTTATTACAGGAGATAATACCTATCTCTAAGCATTGGTAAAAGACCATCGCCGATCTTTCTTTCTAAACTCGCTCGCTCGACAGAGAAACACCATCGATTAATAACTTTTCCCACCGCAATACCACTACTGAAAAGATAACATTGAGAACAACCGATAGATTTTCTCTCTCTAGAAGTGGAAGCTTTACCAACCCAAAACTCATGGGAATACCACTTGACCAATCTCCATCTTGAAGATCTATTCCCATAACATCTCCATCTTGAAGATCCATTCTTATAACCCTCAAAAGAGGGACCTTCTAAAAGATAAGATATTATGTCTTCATTGAATCTTTTATATGTGAGAAATTGTATGTTTGTATAATTGGGCCTTAAACCCCCATGAAGATGTATTATTGAGTTTATCAAAGATGTGAACAAGAGCCCCAATTTATAGGGTTACAAATTTATGTACTACTAAAGAAACTAACATATGTAAAGGAATATATTGTTCCTAAACTAACATATTGTTCCTAAACATCAGTGCATGTTTCTATATTTTTATACTCCCCCTCATAGCTTAAGTTTGAACAATTGAAGGTAGGCGTTAGTAAGAAAGCAGGAACATAAGAAGCTTGAGCAGTTGCAAATTAGCGATCCTCATAAACCTATATCTCGAACAGAGCAATCTCGCATAACAGCAAATCAACAGGCATTTGAAATAGACATGATCGAGTAAACTTGATCATCACACAAGATGAAGTAACGGAAAACTTGATCATCAACCAAGATCAATAAATTCGATCATCAAACATGAGGCACTTGACAGAGCTAACAGAAATCAGCAGGGGATCAACAAGCACTGTTGGACCTTAGATTCGGAATAGAGAACATTAAGATCTAAACACAGATCAGAGAATTGAAACACGACTCGACAGACAGATCATAGAGTCGAAATACAACTCGGCAGAGAGACTGGTCAGATAGTCGAAACACAACTCAGTAGAGAGACAAATCAAATAGGCGAAACACGACTCGGTAGTTGTTTTACAGATGGTACAGATTGGCCGTTTTCATATACCATTTTCAAATGTGGGTTTCAAATCTAGCTCACCAAAGTTCCGACATCAAAGGGGAGATTGGTCGCAAAGGGACTCGAAAACCTTATGAATGCAATAGTAACAGCAAATACTGGAAGCAAATACGGAGAAGGCTAGAGAGAGGTACATCACTTTTGTACCAAATAAAGTAGAAAAGGTAGAGAGAGAAATAAGAGATGGAACCCTTTAGTGGTACTGACAGCATGAATTGGAGTACTTTCAAATACTTTGCATCTGCAACTCCAGCCATCTCTTGGATGTTGATTACCAAAACATATTTTCACCAACACTCCACAAAAAGAAATGATCCGAGATAAGAGAAAACCCTGGTGAGATAAGAGGGCAAAACAAATTTGCATGATATACAGGAAAATTCAATTAATGAGTATGTGAGTGTCCCGTCAATCTCTAGTCTCTGAGCATCGTATCCAAATTAAACACCAACAAATATTCAAAGTGAGAGAGAGAGTAAACTAGAGAGAGAAACATAGCACGTTCTAGTGAGAGGGAAAATTCTTCCCTGCCATCACCCAGGCTTCGCGATCAGAACATGGTTGCCCCATATACATCAGATGCCGCCATACCAGACCCACTTCTCCTCTCAATGCGTGGCCTGCTGGGAGCTGAGCAGAGAAAGAGTTGTATCCCCAAGGCCCGAACATAAGGCCCAAACTGATGAGAGAGAACTACTACAAGAAGAACGAAATACAGATAAGAGGAGCTGCCGAGTAGAGAACATAAGGCCCAAAACGATTGGAGAAGAGCCAAACTGAGATCAGAGAAGTATGAGAGGTGAAATAGAGTTTTCACATATCACAGAGAATACACAGATCGTATAAAACCTCGTTTTGATATCATGTGAGAAATTGTATTTCTGTATAATTGAGTTTTTCAAAGTTTATCAAAGATGTAAACAAGAGCCCTAATTTATAAAATTACAAAGTTGTGTATTACTAAAAAAACGAACATATGAAATGAACCACTTTTTTAATATGGGTACATATAAAAAGAAATAAAATATTATTCCTAACCGTCAGCACAGGTTTCTATATTTTCCACATTATATAGATATCACTTTTTTGCTTCCCAATAAAATCTATTTTCATTTTACTATAATACCTTTAATCTTTAGAAAAAAATATAGGTATAGTGATTCTTGTAATGCATTTTTGAAATGTCAATTTTAGATTTTTAAGTATTTATAGATTTGATCCATTTACACTATTTTTTAAACTTAAAATTTTATAATTAGATATAAAAATAAATTTTCAAATCAACACAACGATTTCCAGTACTAAAACATCTTTCAATATAGAGCATACCCCTTATGCAAATGGTAATGCGTAAAACTCTCTCTCTCTCTCTCCCTCAACAAAAATTAAGTAGTCACTATCCCCTCACCAAAACCAAAGCTAATTACGTACACACAATAAATAGGTGAAATACAAATAGTCGAATTGGCTAAAAATTTACAAGAATGGTTGTTGCCATAAATTTTTTAATTTTTTTTTTTAAATGCCTCTCGATCAAAGGATATCATCTTTGGACCACCCACATCGTGGTCTTACTGCACATCACAGGCAAATCGAGGTCCTCATTCTTGGACTACCCACCTTGTGGTCTTACACCACATTACAAGCAAATCGAGGGCCCCATCCTTACTATGCAATTTGGTGTTATACCACATTACAAGCGGTCTGAGGTCTCATATCGTTTATAATGTGGTTGAATACTATAGTGTTGACGGTCCATGGATGGGTCATAATTTGATTGAGCCTAAGCTGGTGATATGAGATCTCCATCTCCGGACGGCCTATAATGTAATGTAGTACCACAATTGGGGTTGTGGATTGATTGAGGAAGGGGACCTTGAATCCTTTTTAAACTGTTTTAAAACATAAGGCAATAAAAAAAACTTAAAAAAAAAAATAGAAAAATCAAAGTCAGTACGAGATATCCTCATATCAAGAGGTATTTCGGAAAAAAAATTTAAAAATTCTACAATAACGGACCTTCCTAACAATTTTTTAGTCACTTTGACCGTTTTTTTTTTTTTTTTTGTTTTATTTAATTTGCTCCTAAACAAGCTGTTTGTATAGACCCGATGCTCTAAACAATCAAAGTAAAACACACCTTCAAATAATATAAACACGCCTTCAAATAATATCAAAAAATGCGATTTTAATGTTGGGAAACTTCATGATAGTCTTAAAAATATATTTTTATTTTTAAATATAAAATTTAAAACTTTAAAAATAGTGTCGGTAAAACATATGTATAAAAATATGAAATTTTTAACGCAGGTATTAATTTGATTGTTTAAAGCCTCGGCATAAACTTTTTCACTTTTTCCATAAATAAAGGTCATCACTGCCCCCACCGGCACCCCTAGCGACCTTTCTCACTGTAACTTCCCCTCGAAATCAAGCGTTTGGAAACGTGTCACGCATTGATAGGCCCATCTCCCCTACCCACCTCCCCCAATTTATTTCAAGTCTTTAATACACCAGTGTCCCCTCTCCCTACAAATACTACACCCCTCATCTTCACAAAACTCACCCTGAAAACCCCTTAAACTCCACCATGTCTTCTCAGCTTTCTCAAGAGCGGCTCCAAGAAAAGGCCGAAATCTATCATGGCCATGAAATTTGCAGGTCCAAGTACTTGGAACTCCTCAAAGAAGTGGGCATGCCCAATGGCCTCCTGCCATTAGAGGATATTTTGGAATGTGGGTACATAGAGGAGACCGGTTATGTGTGGCTTAAGCAGAAGAAGAGCACGCAGCACTATTTCGATAAGATCGGGAAGCTTGTTTCCTACGCGCCGGAGGTGACTGCATATGTCGACAAGTTTAGGATGAAGAAGGTTACAGGGGTGAAGGCGAAGGAGTTTTTGTTCTGGATTTCGCTGAGTGAGATTTGTGTGGATGATCCTCCCACCGGAAAGCTCACATTCAAGACGCCGGCTGGTCTCTCCAGGAGCTTCCCGGTGTCGGCTTTCGAGGTCCCGGAGGAGAAGAAGAAGGTGGAGACGATGGTCGGCTGTTCTCAAGAGAAGGAAGGAGTCGTGGAGAAGGCTTAGATCTCCCTCGATCTATCTACATATATGGATTCTCTATATGCAATTTTATTTACATCGATTTAAGCTTTGAAGATGCGACACTGGGTGAAGAAGATTAAGAGCAGGCCTAGATTTGCTTTGTTAGATCTCCATCTCTCTCTAGTCATATCATATGACTCTATCTCTTCCCCTCTCCTCCAAATATGAGCATTCAAAAATCGAAGATTAACCTACAACTCTCTCACTCCACCTTTTTATGGCTCAATATTGTTGGTATATATTTTATAAATTTTTTTTACTATGTAGTAGTTCAAAGCAATGTATTTTTTATTGTTGTATTTTTAGTTTTAATTAAGCTGAAAAAGATATTAGGTGTTATTGGTTTAGTGCGATCAAATATTTGAATGGGTTTTATGATGTCAATGAGTATTATTCACATTGTTTACCGGATGAAGTGTGAGTGAGTGAGTGCGTGTGCGGTTGTGCGGAAGAGTCAAGCCACATTGTTTCTCACTCTTTATCTCTTCTGCTCTACGAAACAATGAGTTTTTGCTAATTTTTGTCCATTGTGGGTCTTAAATATGGGCGTGGTCTGTATAAGGTTGAGACTCCTAACAATCACCGTAAGGCGCACTTTCAAATAGTGTTGAAAGAGTTGTTTCAATATCGAAAATCGGTATAATACCAAAAATTTATTTTTCATCTCTTATTATCAAATTTAAAACTTCAAAAATAGTGTAGATCAAACAGATATATGAACATTTGGAAATCTTGAAAATTGACAATCTAGATAATGCATTACAATTGTGTTATTTTCAATGTTATCAAATTCGCGTCATTTCGGGAATTAATTATTGGGGACCGACAGACCGGTAAAACAGTCGTAGCTATAAATACTATTTTGAATCAAAAGGGGCAAAGTGCAATACGTGTTTATGTAGCTATTGGTCAAAAAGCGTCTTCCGTAGGTCAGGTAATGACTACTTTTCAGGAACAAGAAGCATTGGAATACACTATTGTGGTAGCTGAAACGAACGGCGGATTCACCTGCTACATTACAATACCTCGCTCTTAATACAGGAGCAGCTTTGGCTGAAGCTTTCGGATTTTAAGCATAAATTGAAGCGAAGAGAAGTACGGTGTTGCGGCTTTGGCCCGCTTCGGTCGGAAGAGAAATACATACACAAAAGTATTTTTTATTTTTTATTTTTTATTTTTTATTTCTTAATTATTTTTATATATTATATATAAATATCTAATTTATTTATATTAAATTTTTTTAAAAAAATTCAAAGTCTTCTCTTGAATTTGTCGAAACGCTGAATTGCTTCATTTTTCCCATCAAACCGAAAAAGACTCCGAATCGAATCTAACAACATTGACTTGAAGTTTTTTTTTCTACATATCTCAAGGTCGAGAGGATCATATTTGAGCGGTTAATGCAATGAAACATCTTCTTCTAGTTAATTTTTGAGTTGCACGTTTGACTGATTGTCTAGGGCCTCAACCTTATGTAAATTTTTTTCTTTAAATATTGTTTCGGTCAATTTAATTGGAAAATTGATTTTAAAGCAATCATGAAGATTTTATATGCTCCGTGTGCTTTCCGGACAAGGATTTGAGATGAAGTTTTACTTTGTTTTCATAAGGCCCAGGCATCACAGAAACTGCATCCTTCTATGAATCGAAGATTAGCCCACAACTCTGTCTCTACTTTTTATGGCTTAATTTGAGTATTTCTAACTTCTACTGTGATGAATGTCAAACTATGAAACAATGACTTTTTCCAAATTTTTGTTTATTGCGTGTCTAAGCTAGGTTGGCTTGAAGCATCCCAAACTTTCCGATTTTGCCTGGATTATAAGAACTTGAAAAGTGTGATAATCTGGAGCGTCCATCCAACTTATGCATGCATCTAAGGGTGGGATGATCTCTTAGGTTCTTATCTTCGTCTCAATAATTTAAGAAAGTCCAATAATTCAATAAGACAAACATCACTAATGGCCACATTGTTCTATTGGAACTTCTGCCCATCAAAGAAAGCAACATTAAATATTTTTTTTTCCCTCATTTTTTTAGCCACGTCAAAGTGGAGATTGAAGAGAGAACATCAAAATTTCAATCAGAAAAGGGATTGGGTGGTGGTGGCAGTACCCCCATACCTAGTTAACACGATGTGGTTTTCAAATAGCTAACTCCTAATCTATTTTAAAAAATGGTTAAGTTGTGTTTTCCCACTTATGCTTTAACAAAACTAACTCCGAATCTATTTAAAAAAAATGGGAAAAGTGTGTTTTCCCACTGAATTACCTCAAAAAAAAAAAATTCAATGACGCAATTCTTTCACACCTCTGCTTTTTCGTGCCCAAGTGCCAGGCCGAGCCTGCCTTTGCCTGGCCCTTCGAGGCCTTCTTTGGCTCCAGTTAGGATCGGGCATGGGATGGCCCTATGAGGACCAACCCTGTCGTTGGAGATCCCCGCCAAACTGGAATGAACACGAGATCCTAGCCTTCTTTTTTTTGCCCTTTTTTTGTTGCTTCTTTGGAATCCGGGCCTGGGCTGGTCCTATGAGGACCAGGGCCCGACCACCCTGGAATGAACACGAGATCCTGGCCTCCTTTTTTTCGTTGCTTCTTTGGATTCCCTAGGTTTTTCCCTGTTCCAATTCCTCTCTCTCTTTTCATGCAGGCCTTATTGCCATTTCTTAAAGCATTCATTTGTCTACAATTCATAGAGAGAGAGGATGCATATGTATGTACATGAGCATGCTGCGCGTCTTATTCAATTGGCAGCAGTGGTCCAGTGGCCATGCTTTCATTCATGGTAGCTTTACTGGAGCAGGATTTAGTTGGGGCATAATTAAACCTAAACTTTCCCCTCAATTTACTACCATTTCCAACTACCGAGGCGAAAGATCCAGCCCATACCCATCTAGGTACTACTGCTTTGACAAGTTGTTATCAAGTATGCTCCTGTGGGAGCAGCAAATCTTCTCTCGTGAAGCATCACATGTGGGCCGACCCATCAAGATTATTAGTACAGGGGGTAATCTATTTCTTAGAGTTAGAATCAATTTGGGAAAAATATACCATCATTATGAAAAAATGACTCATATAATGTAGTCGGAGTATATATTATTATTATTATTATTTTTCAACTTAAATCACTTACAAATAGTCTTTTTACAATAAAACAATTTCAAATAAAGTAAAGAAAAGAATACAACTAAGATCTCAAATAGTTGAAGCCACTCAACATTTTTTTCAATAACAAATAAAAGATACAACCTATACTTGGAAATAAAAAATACAATAAAAATATGTAAGAAACAAAAGAGGGTGTCGGATATTACTTCATCCGAGCTTCTTACATCCCACACCGAGTCACCACTTTCCGATGGCATGGGATCCAATGGTCAACCTTCAATCTCAACCAAAAAAGCAAGTTTTGAACAAGCCACGTCAATGGAACATGAACCCCTTTAATCACAAAAGTCAAACCCTAGATGTACCCCATTTAATAACCTAGTTTGAGATAAATGAATTCTCTTTTGCTACATCCTAAAACCCTTAGCCATAAATCCAAAGTTGAGAGATGGGAGAGAGAAGAAGTCAATACGCTATGAGAGATGTGTTCCCCCCTTGGGCTTTCATTAGAAAGATGAGGTTTTTATAATAAGAGAGAGAATTCTTTGAGTGGGGGCGTGTCCCTATAGTTGGACAAGAGATAGATAAAAACTTAAGGTGTAGAGATTTAAGTAGGGTACAACTCCTTTTTATAGTACTTGAACAAATTTAAGGTTTTATAGGTTTTCCCTGGCTTGTTAGTCATGTGAGATTGAATATGCATCATTGATTTTGGGTGACTTGTGGGGTAAGAGATATAAGCCGTCAATTCTATGGATGTGTCATCAACATCCTATGGAAGGTGCTAGAATCATTATTCCCCACTTCCTAAATCATTTTTTCCATCAATTAATTTAAATAAAAAATTAATCTATGATAATATTATCATTTCTTATTTTAAGTATAAGCCTTCTAATACATACCAAAATTTCATTCAAACTTTCCTCAAGGCTTAAGCTTTCTTAAAACAACACTTTCTTATCCTTCAAGCCTTAGAACTTGATCACATAAAATAGAAAGTATCCTAAGTGGAGCATGCCACCCATTGTTGCATATAATGGGCACCGCCTAATTTGCAATGGTGGACCTACAAGTCCTATTGGGCCTCAAATGTAATTTTAAAATAATATTTTATTTTAAAATAAATCATAAAACCATATTTGAATATTTAAATCAATATAAAAACAATATTTCTGTTTTTATATATCCAAATTTGATAAATAAAAAATATCCAGAGATTTAAAAATATTCAAACAACAATTCTAAAAATCCTATATTATTAAAATAGACAAAATTAAATACGTTGATAGGAAAAAGATCCATATGGTTTAGGTATAAATGTGTACCGGGGCATTTCACCTCCAACTGCGGACTACGAACCAAATATATTTTCTCAAACTGACCCAGCATTGCCCATGACTCATACTCCATGCTAGGGATCATTAGTGGGTCACTAAAATCTAGCCAATGGGCTACAGTTTCAATCTACAAACATCAGGTTCCCCTTTAGACAAACCAAGGTCATCTTAACATGATGCAATCCATTGCTCGATGGTGCACAAGGGGGTGTCTCTCGCACATACACACGTTTTACCCTGAAAGGTAGCTCGTTTTCTCAAAAAATGCTATCAATGTGCATACCGTGTGATGGCACATGGATGAGGCTATGGCCCCATCTCTGAAGGCCTCCATCACACACAAGGGTCACACAACCCCTTGACTCACTCTTCCGGGCATACTCCGACCTCATAAATGGATGACTCATCTAACCCTTATCGGTTTGTTTTTTTATACCCAAACAATATAGGTTTTTTCCAACCAGACTGACCTAGCACGTTAAACACATTTTGGTATCTACAAACATCGTTTGCTTAGTATGGTCCACACGGGACTACAATCCCACTGAGTTTATGTTCCACGATATTAATAAGTTCATGTACAAGCAATTATAAGGCCTTTAATGACCACGCACCCACAACACATCATTATTCGAGCCTTACCCGAACTATTTGGGGTCGGCATTACGAATTATGTTGTCATTCTCCTCTATCAAGGGTACTCTCGATCAGATCATAAGTCACATATCCCTTCTCAATACTTCCATCTATATCTTGGGGGCCTTTTCCCTTGTTTTTTTAGATCCTTCCACTCAAACTAGATCATCCATCCTTCTATCAATGTTGTTTTAAGTCGACACTTCACATGGCCAGACCACCCAAATCAACTGTTCCTCATTTTTTCGCCTATTAGAGCGACCCATAAGTTCCCTCGAATGTACTTATTTAGAATTCCATCTTT